TTCAAGACCAGCCTGGGCAACTTGGCAAGCCCTCATCTCTACAATAAATTAAAAAAACTAGCCAGGCGTGGTGGTGCATGCCTATAGTTCCAGCTACTTGGAAGGCTGAGGCAGAAGGATTGCCCAGCAGGTTGAGGCTGCGGTGGCCGTGAGTGTGCCATCGCACTCCAGTCTGGGCAACAGAGTGAGACTTCAACACACACACACAAAAAAGCTGCACTACTTACCATACCATGTCAAATAGATGAGCAAAAAACTTCTCATTTAAAGAGAAGTAATAATTGAGAATAGACCTGCACTGTACTCATGTAAAAACACTAGAAGAAAAGGAACAGGAGAAAATAAAGGCAGATAAGAACCACACAACAGAAAAAAAGAACCCACTGAGCATGTGAAAAATGTGACAATATACTGTCATACTTCAAAGCACTTAAGGAAACAAACAGTTCATATAAGAGACTGGTGATCAGAAACTCCATGGCAAAGCAATCAGAGGAAATGGAACATAAACTAACAGAGTTCAGAAAAGAAATGGAAAGGAAAAAGCAAAGCCATCTCAGAAAGAAGGCCAACCTGTAAGGAATACAGAGTAAATAAACTAACAGAGGGTGAATTCATCCAGGGGTGAACCAAGTAAGTTGGCCAGATCACACCATCGTGGAAGACTTAATATTTTACTATCAGGGGAGAATTTCCCTCAGTTTTTGTTTTTTTGGTTTTTTTTGAGTTGGAATCTCACTGTTGCCCAGACTGGAGTGCAGTGGCCGCTCCCGGCCACCGCAGCCTCGACCTGCTGGGCTCCGGCGATCCTTCCACCTCAGCCTTCCAAGTAGCCGGAACTACAGGCATGTGTTATCACGCCCGGCTGATTTTTTGATTTATTGTAGAGATGAGGTCTCACTGCCCAGGCGGGTCTCGAACCCGCGGGCTCAGGCAATCCACTCACCTCAGCCTCCTAAAGGCGCGGGATTACAGGCTGAGCCACCGAGCCCGGCTTTCCCTCAGTTTTTATTGTGCTGGACATGAACAAAGAAATAGGCGCTGATTGCCACTGACAGTCAAATTGTGCCTGATACGAAGGGAAACAACTTTGGGGTAAAGTTTATACAATGAGAGAGGACACATAGATATAATCTGGGTTCTTGATGACATTATAGCTAATGGAACCATGGCTAGAGCCAACACCACTTCCAGACCATCAGAAATGTGCAATAATAAATTTTCTTATGACTTAAGCCAGTTTCAATGAGAGTTTCTTAATTTGCAATAAAAAGTACTGTTACAGAAAGATAAAAAATTTAAAAGCAATAAAAACAAAGTATAATCTAAAAGAAAATATATATTATATGTAAATTAACATAAAGACTATACTAATCTATTAAATAGAATCTTAAAATAGAATCACAAAGCAAAACTCACTATATACTGTATTAAAATACTCAAAACAAAGTGACTCAAATATCAACAAATAAGATGAATATCAGACAAATGCACACCAAAACAAAACATAGGTTAATCTTAGTATCTGATAATTACAGGGGAAAAGCATCCAATGCAGAAAAAAGACAGTTTTATAATGATGAAGTTAAAACCTACAGTGAAAATCTAATAGTCATGAATTTATATGCACCAGAAAATATAACCACATACTATACAGAAAAAGAGTAAAGTAAAAACCACAGATAATAAAATAAGAAACTGACAGAAATCCCTAAGTGAAAAGAAATTTTATCTCTCTCAATCCATTTGACAAAAGACATGGAAAAAGCAGTTAAAAAATAGCTCAATAATATATTTAGTGAAGGAGCTATAATTTATATAGTTATATAGTACATAATAAGTAGATGCTATGTAGTGCTCTGTTATCTGAAAATAGAAACTGCATTTTCCATAAAAATTGACCCATAAAAAGAAAACTTTATGTGGTAATATTGTGATGCCCATGATTCTATACAAAGGGAGATCTGTCTCTACCTGAATTCCTATCACAAATGACTCCTTCAGGAGTGTACAAAATGTTCCTATGAGCCAAGCATAGTGGCATGCACCTGTAGTCCCAGCTACTTGGGAGGCTAAGATTGGAGAATCACTTGAGTTCAGGAGTTCGAGGCTGCAATGAGCTATGACTGAGTCACTGCAATCCAGCCTGGGTGACAGAGTGAGATCCTGTCTCTTATTTAAAAAAAAAAAACAACTTGTTCCCATGGGTAAGAATTCTGTTGTATGTGAGAGTTCCCAGTACAGGGAAAGAGAATTAGAGAGGAGCTAAAACTACTCTAAAAGAAGAGATTCCAACCCTGACTCGATAAGAATACATGCAGTCTACACTGTCAGATAACAAACATAAAATGACAAAAAAAAAAATAGACACGAAGACTGAAAATTTTCTACCAATGTATGAACATAAAATAAAAAAGTGAAGTCTTAGTTCAAATTGGCATGAACCTAAATAATAGTGGATATATAGGTCAGTCAATAAAACCTGAAAACAAATCTGGGTGACCCTGATCAAAACAGAAACTTTTCCCTTGGCTAATGAGTTTAAATTGGATATTTCTTAAAGAACGCTAGCTTTTCTCTCATAATTGCCATCTATCATCCTTGTGCTCTATGTATGTATTAAACACGCAGTCACATGTTTCTGTCACTTCACTGTCTCTCTTCTGACTCTATTTCCTGCTCAGAGGAAACATAAAATGTTCAGCACACTTTTTTTAACCCAAAATTGCTGTAATATGTCCCCAAATATGCCAGAAGTTGAGAATGGACAACGTAATTCATTAAAACCAGGGTAGCAGAATCTACCAGTGCTATACTTCAAGGAAATAGTTAGGTCTGAGCTTAGATGTAGAGTTTAAGGGTGAAGGGACTGAAAACTACATCATGAAGATTAACTTTTCAGGGTGACTACACAGTTCCTTAAGTCAGGTTTTCTCACCTCTTTGGATTGAAGGACTGAGGTACAAGAAGAAATATCTTTTAGTATTTAAAACCAAAAATTCCACATCTTGTGGGGACAGAATCAAGTAGAAACAGATGCTTCAGTCTAACTTCCACTAACGGTGATAATTGTAATATCCTACTTTGATACAGTAGACTTTTTGTTTGCCTTGGAAATGATTCTAAGATTCTTGCGAACAACATTTAGTCTACACAGTAGTACTACCGAGTTTGGTGAATACAATGAAGTAACAGTTCTTGTAAAAAAAAGAAAAAAGCGAGTTGTACTGCACTTTCTAATTTGGAAAGCAATATATTGCTATACGTTTGGCCAATAATAAATTTTATTTAAGTTCAAGATAAGTCCTATTTAATAAATAAACATTTTCCTTATTCTTTCTCTGAAAACTAAAAGGAAAGAGATAAAGAAAATAAATAATTTACCATTTAAGTCACTCTCTGATTCTGGAAATAATATTTTAATTAAGTTTCACTTAAAAAATAAAAGTAGTTTTCTGATTACCTCCACAATGAGCCCATTAACCACATTGTCACATAAAGAAAACTTAGGTACATTCAATGGTTTACAAGACATGTCTCCATATAATACATTTACATTCATGTGAAGTATGAACTTATTTAATTGTATATATTTCTGACTTATGCATCCAGTACCTTTTAAAACAACTAACATGTAATATGCTTATTTCCTAAAAGTTAATTCATAAATAATGATTCAATGTTAGAAAAGCCTCTTTTGAAGAATTACAATAGTTGTATTCATACTATGAGAATTTAATAATTTTTCTAAACATAAGCTTCAAGTTAAAGCTTCAGCAATTTCAGTTGTGTAACTAGCAACACACAGAATTCTTAGCAGGTTGCACCGCTTGTATTACAGCTTAGGTCACTTCAAGTGGTTCACAATTATTTGTGCAACAGGGGAGAAAAGCACCAAAGATAAATTATTTTTTCACATCATGGATGAAATCAAAACACAATGATCTCAATTTCCCTTCAGAATGCAATCATTTATAAAGAGCATTTATTTAAAATGCTCAATCTTTAAGCTTTCTTAGTGAGATCAACTGATACACTGACAATGAAAATGGCAAAAAACAGATGCTATACATAATAGCTACTAACTTAACAGACTTCAGATTTCTTTTAACATTGATGACCTGTGAACTGAGTTCCTTAGATCTAAAAAAATAACTCTGAAAACAAGTATAACATTTATAAATTTGTCAGCCTTATCTTTTAAAAAAGAAACTCTAAAGGTGCCTTTCTTGCCAATATATAAAACAAAGATTTTCCTGATGAACAAAGCACCTCTTATGGTAAAGAAATATATAAATAAAATGTTTTCTACAAATTAACATACAAATTTATGTGCATAAAGGTATAGTTCTCTCAGCTGTATATGAAATATGTTAAATAACACACAATTAAAAAAATTCAAACAGATTGAAAAAGTAACCCATGTGCTATACTCCAGTTATTAAATATTGCAGCATATATGTCACTATAATAATCGGGAAACATTTTCTAAACCAAATGGTTAATGCAATCTCTTTGGAAAGATACTTTTTTAAAAGTCCCCAATATGTAATCCTGGCTGTCAAATTTTCACCCAAGCTAAAGGTCTTTACAGCTAAAATGCAATCCCATGAAAATAAAAATATGTTCAGAGGCTGCCTCATCAGACTCTGCAGTATACAGCATTACTGATGTGACTTTGGTACAGACCAGTTGAGCTTTTATGCTCCTTTTCTTTACTACAGGCACACGGTAAACATTCTATTTTTATCACTGTAAGTTTTGCTACACATAAAATGCTAGTAAGCATTATGTTAAACATTTCCAGATGATGACAAAAGTTCCTTACCTGAATATAAAGAAAGTGTCCTCTAGATTAAAAAACATTCAAAAATGAATACAGAGATGCCTTAGGAGAAACATAAATTACTAGCTTTGACAGTTTTTAGCCAAGGTTTACTACATATTTTTTTCTACTGAACAAGTTATTTTTACAAGAAGATCCAGCTTCTGCTAAAATTTCATTTCTTTTTCCCACTGTTTTTTTTGTGTTCATGTATTTCTGTTTTGCTAGGTGTATTCTTTTTCCGAGATGAGGTATTAGGAACAACTGCACTAGAAGGTCCACTTGTAGCTATACCAAAACAAAAACAAAAAACAAAATTAAAAACAAAAGCTATTGCTTAGATTTATACAAGCAACCCAAGTTCAAATAATACTGAGTGACACAATATTTCTTGTTATAATTATGATGTAAATGAAACAATGTAAATATTTAATATAGCATTTTTAACTTTTTACTTTTAGAATTCAACACTAATATAGGTAGGTAATGAGAATGGGGTGCATATACAAAATAAATTTCCTATTTTATTTATGTTCTTCCTGGGAAACTATTCACTTCCATAATTTTTAACTAGTGTTTACTGTGCTAATGATTTTTAAATTTATACTTCCGGATCAGGCCTTTTTCTTTAGCTCAAGATATGCATATCCAACAACTATTAGAACTCACTATAGATATCTGATAGGAAACATAACTTTAACATGCTTAAAACTGAACTCATTACATTTCCTACAGGCATCAATTCCCTCCTCTATCTTTTATCCCACCCCTATAAAAAGAGCTAGGAGGTGAGAAAGCTAGAAACATTTTTGAGGAACCACCCTTCCATATCTGAACCAACGTCAAGTCATCAAAAAGCTATTCTAAGGGGAGTTACTCTTCTCTAATGGATGGGTAAGTAAGTTCTTATAGACCAATCTTTTCCACAGGTAACAAATATACACTATGCACTAAATTTGAGGAACAACCACAGGAAGATATTACATAGTGAACAAAAGCAGACAGTTACTGGAGAAAAATCAACACTTGGAAAAAAAGGGAACAATATGAGACAAGTTTCTCATTCTTCATAGCTTCTAGCCTGAGGACAGACCCCAATCTGCACAATAAAGATTGACTAAAATTCCAACATAAGACCCAGTATTAGTACCATGAAGAACCAGTGGACAAGTACTAGGGGAACTAGAGCTGCTGGAAAGTGAGGTGGGAAATCCCAGAGAGGATAGTCCACGATTCTAGGTATAAACCATGATCAAATCCACAGCATGAGCAGAATAAGTTTCAAGCAGCCCAACCAAATTTAAGAGATATGAACTGAAATTTGAGCTGCCAGCTACTTCAAGATACATAATTTTGCAATCTGAGTACAGCCAAGGTTAACTCTTTGCTTTAAAAACAAACAAACAAAACAAAGTTCTTTGGTAGAACACAACAGAGATGACAAAATCCAGAGTTTCTACAACATATCATTCACAATGTCTAGGATACAATCCAAAATTACTCGATATACTAAGAAACAGGAAAACATTTCTTGCTGAGAATGGGTAAATTGACAGAGACAAGTCCTAAAAGGAGTCAGATGAACAGATAAAAATTTTATTTTATTTTATTTTATTTTTGAGTTGGAGTCTCACTCTGTCGCCCCAACTGGAGTGCAGTGGCCGCTCCCGGCCACTGCAGCCTTGACCTGCTGGGCTCCGCGATCCTTCCGCCTCTGCCTTCCAAGTTGCTGGAACTACAGGGGCGCGCTACCATGCCTGGCTAATTTTTGATTTATTGTAGAGATGAGGTCTCGCCAAGTTGCCCAGGCGGCTCTCGAACCTGTGGGCTCAGGCAATTCACTCACCTTGGCCTCCCAAAGTGCGGCATTACAGGCTGAGCCACCGAGCCCAGCCAAAAATTTTAAATTAGCAATTTTAACTATGCTCTAGGACAAAGAAAAATATGCTTAAAATAAATAAAAAGGACATCTCTGCCAAGAAAACCTATAAAAATCATCAGAGTATCTAAAAAATAAATATCTGAAATAAAAACTGGATGAGTTTAATGACAGAATAAAGAGGACAGGTAAAAGTAAGCCTCAACCAGGATTATTACTAAAAGAAAAAAAAAAAAGACCATATGCCACAGTCAAAACTGCTGAAACCAAAACTAAAAAGACCAACAATATAAGAAATGTCAAAAAGCTTCAGGTAGAAGGCAAATGAAACCAGATGGAAACATATTCATCAAGGAAGGAATGAAAAGCATAAAAAATAGCAAATATCTGGTTAAATAGAGAACTTTTCTCCTCTCAATTTCTTTAAAATACATATGACTGTTTAAAGCAAATATAACATTGCATTGTGATGTTTATAATATACATGGAAGAGACACATAAGGATAACTATGTTAAAGCATGGGAAGAGGGGAGCATAAACGAAGCTATACAGTTGCGAGGTTTCTACATTTTACTTTAAGAGGTGTAAATTAAATAGACTGAAAAATCAGAAATATATATTTAGAGGAATAATAAAGAATAATGCAAAAAGATATAGGAAAAGCCAATAAATAAAATTAAATTCTAAAAAATACTGAATTAGTACAAAATAAGGTAAGAATAAAAAATAATCATCAGAAGAAATAAACAAAATATAATAAAGTAGTAGACCTAACTCAAACAATTACATTAAATGTTAATGAACTATAAGGTAGATGTTGTTAGAATGACTTTTTAAAAAGTCAAATATGCCTACGGTCATACTACCCTGAAAACACCTGATCACATCATTAAAGTAAAATATATGTTGTATTAAAAAAATTATGTTAAATATAAAGTTACAAATTGAAAGTAAATGGATGAAAAAACTAAGCCATGTATACAGTAAGCATTGCCAGAATAGCTATATTCATATAAGATAAACTTTAAGACAAGTATTACTGGAAGTTAAAGAGAAAAATTTCATGAGGATAAATGAATCACTACATTAGGAAAACCCAACAAATATATACATACATTATAACAGAGCTCCAAAACATACAAAGCAAAAACTAACCAAATTAAAGGGAAAAACAGACAATTCCATAGTTGTGAATGGAAATGCTCTCTATAAAATTGATAGGACAACCAAATCCATTTTGATCACTCATATGCCCCAAAAAACAAAATTAAAAAACCAACAGTGAAGACAAAAGATTTGAATATTATCAACAACCTTGACCTAATGCATAATGATGAAACGTTCCCTTTTTTCTCCAGTACACTTAGTATATTCAAGACAGTCCAAATGGTAAGCCATAAAACAAGTCTCACATTTAGAAGACTGGAATCATATAATGTATATTTTACAATTGGAATGGAATTAAATAAGAAATTGATAAAAATATATCTAAAAAAATCCCCCAACTATTTGAAATTTAACCAATACATTTATAAATACTCCACAGATTGAAGAAGAAATCACAAGTCAACTAGAAAACATTCTTAACTGAATGATAATGACTATACAACATAACTTTTGTAAAATGCAACACACAGAAGTTGTAAAGGAAAACTTACGGCTTTAAATGTTTATATAACAATGAGGAAATATCTAACAATCAATGGCCTGAGAAACTAAAAATAGAAGATAAAATAATTCCAAAGTAAGTAGAAGGAAGAAAATAATCAAATAGCAGAAATAAATTAAATATAAGACAAACAGAAAAACAAAGAGCCAAAAGTTGGTTCTTTGAAAAGGCAACAAAATTGATAAATCTCTAGTGAGACTGTTCAAGGAAAAAAAATCAGAACACAAATTACCAGCATCATGAATAACAGACTCATTAAAATACCGCTTTCATTAAAAGGATAATAGAGATGCAACAAAGTTGACAATTTAAATAAACTAGCTCATTAAAAAATAAAGTTACTAAAACTGCCACAAAAATGAAACAGAAAACTAACTCTATCAAACATTTAGAGAAAAAAACTCATCCAGAAAATAAGAAAGGAGGAAATACTTTCTAATAATTTTATAAAGCTACCAATACCTGGATACTAAAACCTGAAAGAGACATTATTTTTTTTTTTTAAAAGGGAAAAATTACAGGCCAATAGCCTTCACAAATACAGATGCAAAATCAACTTCAGTCTAGCAATTAAAAAAAAGATATATGTGTGTGTGTATACATACCACAAACCATATATCATAACCAAGTAGGGATCATTCTAGGAATGCATGGTTGGCTTAACATTTGAAGAATCAAATATAACACCATCTCAACTTTATTATTTAAAAATGTATATAAAATAATGTATTTATTTTGTGTCTAATATGTAAAGAACAACCATGTACTGTGAGTCAAAGAATATTCAAATCTAGGTCTACTGACAACTAGCTATGTAAACTGGCACAAGTTACAACCTCTCTACTAATTTCTTCATCTGTAATGAACATATTAATGGTATGGACCTCTAAAGGTTATGATGAGAACTATGAGAATAGACAAATACTTTGTAAAATAAAGAAGTGTTAACTTTCATTTTTAAAATACGGAGTATACCACAAATTACATTTAAGATACTTATTCAACTTTCTGTAGTTTCATATACTGATTAGTTAGAATGTTCAACTAAATTCAAATCTTTTAAAAATATTTCCCATGACTTATAAGGCCTGGTAGTCTGATAGAGCAAAATCAAGTGTTAGATCAAATTAGTAGTACAGTATCATTGAAGTTTTTGCTTTGATAGTTGTATAAATACATTATCAATGGAAAAGGATGGATTGAATCTTAAAGGATAGGAAGAGGGAGAATATTTTAATAGGAAAAATGGCATAATACTAAGGGAATTTATTTATGGAGAAGTAAATGTTATAGATATAATGTAACAATAGCAGCTACCACTCAGGATTTACTATGTGTGCCAAGTACCTTATATATATATTATTGCACTCACCTCTGACAGCTTTATAAAGGAGGTTATATTACCCTGATTTTATGACTATGAGACTAATCATCGAAGAGGTTGCCCATGGTCATATAGCTAATAAGTAGCAGAGCTGAGATTTTAATCTAGGTCCCTCTGTCTTCTAAGCAAGTGCTTAACCAAAAGACTATTTGGGAGCACTAAAAGGAGGAAAAGAATGAAAATATCTCTAATAAGCATGTAGTCAAAGTCTCAGAGCTATATGGAATTATCTGAGAAAAAAAAGATAAAGGGAAAGAAAAAATAAAGTAGAATGTCCCTGTCTAGGAAGAAAAGAATGAAAAAGGATGACCAAATAAGAAAATTAGAAGAAACTTTGGGTAAATAGAAATAGTACCATGACAGAATAATAGCTTGGAAGTCAGTGTAAGAAAGCATTTCAGAAAGGATCAACAAAATCAAATGTACAAAGAAGTTAAAACAGAAAAATGCTGATAAAAGATAGTTGATGTGGTAATCATATAATCAGACTGAGAATGGAGAGATTAAAATATTGTAAGGAAAAAGGGAAATCTTTTTTTTTTTTTAAACTTGAGATGGGGGTCTCACTATGTTGCCCAGGCTGGACTTGAACTCCTGGTTAAATGATCCTCCTGACAGCCTCCTGAATGCTGGGATTATAGGCATGCGTCACCACTCCCAGCCCATAGGAAAAAGAAATTCATATAAAATGATGCCCTAAGTTCAACAGAAAAGCAAAAGATGAAAGTGCATAATTAGCTTGGGAGAAAGTGTGATTATGAAATATACTGTACTAATAGATGTGGGGCAAAGGAAATATATACATATCAATAGGATACAATAATAAATTTTAGCCCCTAAGATTATCACTGTTTAGGAAATGTGATGATCCTAATTAAAAACAGATTTTACATTTAAAAAGCAAGTTGTTTTTCCTCTCACTGCCATGCAGAATCCACAAACTCACACACACACACCCCTAACCTGGTTTGCTGCTTGCTTTAGTACTCTTTAAGGTAGCTGGTGGTGTTGGGAGGATCTTTGCAGGTGTGTATGTATTTAAAGATACTTTTCTTCTCATTGCTGGACTGGAACGTGAAACTGTGGAGGCTGAAAAAAATAAACATGGTAATTTAATAATTTCCTGCCAATTCTATCTTAACATTATTGAAAATTTCTTATGGCATAATTTATTGACCCTAAGAATATACATGATTACAGTAGAAAATAGACAAGGCAAGGTTTGCAGAGTAAATTAAGCAAATTCATCTTCTTAATAAAAAGACAGTTTTCTCATAGCCTTAGCCAAATCGATGTTTTCTTTATATTGTAAATAATAAGCATTTTAATGGTATATACAGAGGAATGCCAAGAATAGAGCAAGAGACTTAATTTTATCCTGTCCTGACAGAAACTGAGGTTCTTAAGGTATGGTAGAGCTGAAGGCACAGTTTTACTGCCTGGTATCAGAGTTAGCAATCTTTCAAACAAAGAGTCCCAAATTGTTTTTTTCTCGGAAAAAAAAAAAAAAAACAGATTCAGAAATCAGGGATGGTTCATCTACAAACACAATGGTCACCTAAACTATCATATGGAAGAATAAACTAGCTAGATTATAAGTAATTCAATAAATCAGATTATCTTCCTATGTTATCCAGTTGAGATTTATTTTAATGAAAGGGAGCAAATTTTAAAGTTGGATTTTCCCCCCCTTTCTTTCTAGTCAAGGTGAAGAAACTGATAGGTGTGAAAAGGAAAAACAAGGATAATTCTTAAGTATGGAGTTCTCTGGAGAAGGATAAGTCACAACAAAAGGAAAAAAAGTTTGCTTTTGAAAATCAAGATGCAGGTCAGTTATGGCAAATGAACCTTTGGTGGCTGACACCTACACTGAATGAATATAATTTTGACTAGCAGAGCTCAAAGTAGTCACTAGTGAAAAGAAGTGATGAAAAAGTCCTTAAAATATCATACGAAGCAATATACCTTTTTTATGCAAAAAGTTAAGCATTACTTAGCTCTTTCTTGCTTGCTAACTTACTCTGTTATCAACTTCTATCATAACTTATCCTAATTAGTATTCCTATTCCTTTTCCTTCAATCTGATATTGTCACTGTTCCACTGTAAGCTAACTTTTAGTTACCACAATATTAGTTTTGTCCTAGATGAGAAAAAAACTGAGTAACAGAGTATTATTAATATTGTATTTTACCTTGCAACAAACACCACAAAATCAATATAGTTCTACATACATGATATTACTTCCTTGATAATTCAGGAAATTAATTGTAAATAATGCAAATATATTATAGTTAATAAATATGAATTCTGTAGTTTATATAAGATTCAGATACTTCCATCAAAATTGGCACTCTATTTTCTTTAACATTCAAAGAATAAAAAAACAAGAGTCTTTAGAAGACCTGGGTTCCAGTCTTGCTTGACTACTAACTAGTTGATTTCTTCAACTCCATCTCAGTTTTTTCCTTTAAATAGTAAATTGTTCTCAAGTGAAGTCTTAAATAAAATTAAGCAAAGCAGATTCTCTGGTTGAAGCAGCCATGAAAGACACAAGCGCTGATGATTAAGCATCATTCTCTTCATAGAATTCCAAAAGGCTCTTAGGAATAGTTTGAAGGCCAATGAACTATATTATCACTAAGGTTTATCCAGTTCTATCAACTATATTAAGTATATTTACTTTCTCACCTAGTTCCCTTAGTAACCTAATTTTAAGAAAGCTAGAGGGATTGGGGTACAAGATGTATTCATGATATAGAAAAGAGCTAATAAGATAGAACTAGAAAAGAAATATAATATTCTTTGCCTCATTAGTAAACCCTAATAATATACTCTGATTAATGGAATTCACTAATCACAAAAATGAAGCTATCATAAAAGTATTACAGAATAAACCTTAAAATATTATATTTTTGCAAATATTCCACTAAAATACTCTTTATGTAATAAACAGATACCATTATGCTACTATTACCTTCAAGTCATTCACTGAAAATCTTCTAAAATCTAAACAGCATTCATATCTACCCTATGTCCTTATTTATTAATTAGACTCATTCTTTAATCTCTATTTTAAGATTTTATACCCTTGCCTCAAGGAAGCAAGGAAACATCAAGTATAAAGGTAAAGGAGTAAACTGAAATTTATTCGGGTCCTCTACTGTATTTTGAGGAAGCAGCAGTATCCATTCTATCAGGTTACAGATAATATAAAAGGAGATGACTCCTTTCATTTTCCTGACTGATTTTATACCTTAGAGAAGTTATTTAATTAGGAACATTAGCAATTCTCAGAATCAGACACATTCATAAGCATATTTTGAAATAAAAACCTACTTCCCTAAGCCATCCCTGAAGTAATATATTTTAGAACATTTACACCAACATACCTCTCCACTACCAACAATGGTTGAAAGCTGACCTCTACTACCAGAAATGGAGAAAAAGGGAAAGGTCACTACATTACAGAAATGCAGGACGAACCATGTGGACAGTACAGTATAAACAGTGCTCTCTAGAATTATACAGTATAATGGCCCAGGGAAGGAAACAATAATAGAAAGACATAAAAGTGACATTTATTCCAAGAACTGTAATATCTCATTATATTCTTAGGCGAAATTTATTTACAGCACTTGGAAAAAGATAATGGTACACAAAGAAAGTCTGCTGCGTTCTAAAATATGACTAGAATAGCAAGATTCTTAGCTCTAAGCAGAGCATTTTCTCCAAACTGGAAAATACAAAGTGCTGAGGAACCCTATAGTGCTGAAAATGACAACTGCCAGTTGATTTCTCAACACCTAAAAAGGAAGCCCTAAGCCTTTTCCAAAATGTCCCTCAGAATAGTGCCATGTAATGCTTAATGTGTTACCAAAAAAGTGTTTTCTAAAAAATAAGTTTTGGAAAATCTGGGTTATACAGCTTTCTTTACAGAAGAAATTCAGCCTTTTACATGCGAATGTAACTATACCTTTCCAAAGGGAGGTGAGATGTGACAGTTTCTAAAACTTACTTAGCCATGAACCCTTTTTCTTCACACAAATTAACCTCTTCAGAATATTTTCTGAGGATAATAATTTGAAAACCTGCTGTCCCAATTTTCTCTCTTTAGTTTTAGAGCTCTAACTCCTTACCAAAGGAGGTGAGGGGTTAGGTATGTATGCATGGGATGTGAACTGATATTTTATAATTTTTAAAAAGTTTGTTATAAAATGGTATGTAATAGGAATGTGAGATTTCCAGTAAATGTAGTTTTAGAAAAGACCATGACTATATATCTTATTGATGTCTATTGCTGAGTCTTTTTAAATCTTTCTTTCTTGTAAAAAAAAAAAATTTGAGGTGGAGAGTCAAGAAAATAGTTCATTGCTCAATGTACCAAATAATTCCTAGTCATGGTCCTTTACACCCCTTTCCTAAAATTTGTCACTACCACTACTTGAGTTTATGTGTTTATAATTCTTATTACATTCAGGTAATATTACTGCCCAACAAGCAAATATTAATAATAAAAGTAAATTTTCCTACAAATTTCAGGAGTCTTCCGTGGAATGTCACTAGATGGAGATGCAATGGAAGCAAGAAATTCATCCACTTGCTTTAAAGACAGGGCATTATGAAGAGTTTCCAGAGGACAAATAGATGGCACCATGGAATATAGTTCAAAACCTGAAAGAGATAAACAAAAACAAAAAAGAAAAGTTGGATATTTAAAAAAACAGTAATTAAAAAGGAAGAAAATCATTGCTTAGAACTAGATAGTTTAGGTCTTTCCAATCTATCACATGCAAACACACAAGATCTCTGAAGTCATGACACCAGATGCTATGCAATATGGAGTTGGAACAAGATGTAACAAAGATTTCTTTTTTAATGTAATCACATAGTACAGCATGCACACAATTTCATCCTATATTGGTAAAATCTAAAAATAATACTTAAAAACCTAAAGGAAAAAAAAGAGGAAAAAAATACAATTATTCAGTTTTTATTTTTTCAAAGTCAGGTCTATTCAAAAGGTGAATAGGTTGAGGCCATGATATGTCCCAGATGCCAGGAGGCTATAGGCAACTTCTTGTTAAAAAATAATTATGTAATTACTTGTGAAGAGTGATTTTAAGTACTTTTCTAGGCATCCCAAGGTCAATAATATACTCCAGTATGATCCTAAAACAATATTCATTCACATATGCTGCAATTAAAATTCTAAAACATATCTCACCTACCTTTACTGAATTAACACAATAATTATATTATTAGAAATCACTGGTTGCATAAAGTTAGGCCAAGTAAAAACAATACAAAATGTAAATACACTCGTATTTAATAATGGCACAGAAATACAAAAATTTTATGAAACAACCATGCAGATATGTATTAATACCATCAGTGAAAACAAAAAAACTTAAACACAATCTACTATTTTAAACAAAGAGGATATAGGTTATTCACTTTTTTTTAATTTAAGAAAATTGTCTGTTTATTTAAACTTCATTCAACTGAATGGCTTTAAAATTGCTTTCATACATTGCTAAAAATAACAAGTCTTCCTGCATCTACTCTTCCAAAAATTCAAACTAATTTTCCTCCAAAGAAATACTGCTAGTACTTAAATAAGCTTACATAAAGTTCAATATCATTAATTAAAAAGTAAAATTTAATTAACCTCAGACTGCAAATTCTTTTGCTTCAGTAGGCTTATACTCATTTTAAACTTGAATGGTTTGATTTACTTAAAGTTTAGGAAGAAATATTGACCCAAGAGTTGCCTAATTCTAAGCTGCAATATGGAAACTTCAGTTAAAAGGAAATCTAATCTTCCTATGAAAATAACCAAACAACTTGCAAAATCAGTATGTTTGATTTTTGGGTGCAAACCAAAGCATGACAGGACATTATACATACTTAAAAAAAAAAAAAAAAAAAAACAACACTATACCATAACAGTAGCTTAAGCACCTAAGTTAAGCACTAAAGAAATCAGGCTTGCCCAACTGTTACATTTCTTTTTAAAGTACAAGATTCATGCAAACAAGCGCAAACCCTTTCTTTGCATTACACTAAACTTAACAATGTGCTTTTCCTCCTTTCCTCAGAATATCTACACATCTTTGTAACAACTATTTCTTTCATTTGTCTGCTAGATTTTATAACAGGCAAATGACAATATAATCGAGTTCCTCTGCACTGTATTTTTCCCACTTATCTTTAGTAGACGTTTCCTATCATGCACGATGAAAGGGTTAGCGCAGCAATTTAAAGAGCCACCCTGCTGACATGTTTAGAAGCTATAAAAACATACCACTGGAGCCTAGATATTCCACAGAGGAAACGGATCAGCACCTATAGAGGTATAGGTGTTCTGCACAGAGGCCCAGAAAATAAGGTAAGGCACTGTCAGAAGATACTTGTTGCACCATGTTCCTTGAACTAAAGATGAAGGGAGGGATAAGTCCATGATACGTGTTAAAGATGGAAGTAACATGAAGGTTAGGGGAAATAAAAAGGGAAAGGAACAGTCAAATGACAATTCATAGGACAGATAAGACAACACAGCATTAAAAAAAGACAAAAAGAAATCTTTAAAACCCAAAGAAACATTTAAAAAATTGAAAGGAATGCATCAAGTTGTATAATGTGTAGAAAATCCATATATTTTTTTAAAAAGCCTAAACTAAAGGAGTATAAAATTACTTGATTTCCTATTAAGTTTAACAAAAGTATTTTTCACATTTTAAATCTTTAATCAAACACAGATTTCTCCTAGATAAAACTTCCAATAGTGGTTTTAAACACCTTAGCATTCAGTATAAAAATTACAATCTTAAACCTGCAATGTGTCTTCTTAGAATTTTTGTGACTTCTGTTTTTCTTCTAAGAGGTTGTTAGGCATGCAGGTTTCTTTAGAAGCTGCAGGTGTATCAAATAAGGATCTTTTTCTTCAAAAAGTAGCATTTAAACAGTTACAATGAAGGGAAAGTACATTAATCTTCCAGGCTAAATTTTTTACTTGCTGAGGATGAAATGTTATTATTTCACCCTCAAGAAGAATTAGTGTAATGTTATTTATATGTGTTGTTAAAGGATCCAGAAGGGGGAGAACAACCTTTATCTTCATAAAAGATTTTGAAATAACTGACTTAAGTTTTTGAAAGATTTATTTGCAGTTAAAAAGAAAAAAAGTTCAAGGAATAAAAGTACCTTTATTCCAAATAAAAGCAAAAACCAGTATGTTTTAAATTCTTTGATCCTGAATAATTTAAAAATGATCAATAAATATCCCCTCTTGCCCCAAAAGATCAAGCTCTAAGAAGCTGTAATGCTGCAACAATTCCATTTATAAATAATGGTCATGAAACACTTTCCAATTTAGCCTCAAAAACTGCATTTAACTGAATTGAGTTTCTAGAGTTTAACTTAGTTTTCTTCCTATCAGGAGTCCTTCAAATTTTAAGAAAAGGCAGTGATACCAGAAGGAATTGTTTGCTTGATAATAGCAAACCATATTGCCACACAAGAACAAAATGAACACTAGACAAAGTTTTCAGAGTGCTCCATATCAAGTCAGGTTTTGCTTCAGACAAATTGCCAGGGATAGGTAATATTACCCAGTGAAATTTGTATCACCTGGCTCCCAAGAACTTTTCAAAGACACATCTCATTTGGCTTTTTGATGTGAGTGGTTCTGTATTTTTGTTAAATATCTCACTAAAACAACCATGTGATCAGAAAAGAAATTAGAAAGAAAAAAACGTAAAAATTATTAAGAATTAAGAACAGATTAAAGAATACAAATTGTATTTTAAAAATTTGTGTAGACTGATCACTTGAAAAATCAGGAGAAATTTTCAAGTGATAATTTTGTAATAAAACTCGTCATCATTGTGGTCATTTAAAAGTTTGACGAGTAATATTAAGTTATTGTGTAAATTACAGCTGAAAAGGGAGTTAGACAGTATCAATAATTTGGGTGAATAACAAGTTGGAATTGTATGCCAATTGATATTAAGGACGAAGAAATGAATGATACTGTATACCCCACATTTTGAAATAAAAGAAAAATAAAAAAGGGATGAAGCAGGGGAGTATCTTTTAAAATAAAAGCAAAACGTACCATTGGTTGGGTGTCGAGCAAATGAGATAGAAAACCTTTTTACAGCAGAACCGCGTGTGGCGTCTGAGAAAGAGAAAAACAGGTACCTGAAATTCGTAACAGCTACCAAAAGAACACTTAAAAAAAAGAGGGGAAAAACAAATATATGAGGAGGTTAGAAAGGTGACATGCAGAAGGGACAGTGAGAGAAGGTAATAAGCCAAATATTAGCTAAAAGAAGTAAACTAGCTTGATGATGGAGGCAAAGTGTCGAATGACATATAAAAAAAAAAGAAAGGCAGAATGAGCTGGTAATTCTGATAAATCCATGTTTTACTGGCTAACATAAATTTGTTGCTATATGAGAAAAAGTTTTTTGTGGTTTTTTTTTTTTGAGTTGGAGTCTCACTTCGTCGCCCAGACTGGAGTGCAGTGGCCGCTCCCGGCCACCGCAGCCTCGACCTGCTGGGCTCCGGCGATCCTTCCGCCTCGGCCTTCCAAGTAGCTGGAACTACAGGCGTGCGCTACCACGCCCGGCTGATTTTTTTTGATTTATTGAAGAGATAAGCTCTTGCTGCCCAGGCGGGTCTCGAACCCGCGGGCTCAGGCAATCCACACACCTCAGCCTCCCAAAGGTGCGGGATTACAGGCTGAGCAACAGAGCCCGATGAGAAAAAGTTTTAAATAAAGTTGCTCCTGAAAGAGCTAAAAGCATTCCTCTTAACAAAAGGAACAAGCTTACATGAGCCTCAAAAAACATTCTGAATATTACAACTTTAAGGTACAGTAACAGCATTATGAGGCTGTCCTTCAACTAGGGATCCTGAAATAATCTACATTTATTTTTATAAAACTATTGCCAATATATTTTCTTTTACTTGTAAACATCCCATTCATTTTAATTAGCTCAATATCAAGAAGTTTAAAAAAGGTTTAACAATGAACATTAGTTTAAAAGATCAAAGAAAAAATTTATTCTTTATAATATGGATTATCGATTATCTAAAAGAAGAATACACATGATGCAGTTCTAACTTTTCCATTTTAACAAACCACTTACTGTACAAGTACTGTAAGTCTAACTACAATAACTGATGAAACATGGATCTAAGTTGTAGGAAAAAGATAGTCATTTAGGCAAAGGATGCTAGGATTCCACTTGAATCAGTCAGTGGCCTTAGACTTGCCTTTGAGAAATACTGCTGATGGGTGTGTGCGTGGGTGTAGGTATGAATGTGTGTGTGCATGTGTGCACATACCATCTATGCAGCCAGAAGAGGTCAGCTTTTTACGATGAGTACGAGCATAATCCTGTAGGTTAGGTGCGCTTGATGAACCCCCGAGCACCGAGGTGCTAAACAGGCCCGCACAGTGAGACCCTGATGGGAGTTAGAGAAAATACATACACAACGGGTGTTCTTCCATTCACATTGGGAATTCATGCAGCATGCAATTAATATGGCTCTTACCACACATAAAGCAGCCTTTGGAAATGCCTTACAGGCTTACAGTATACTTATAATGTCCTAGTAATGTCAATTTTCAATTTTAATATAACACTTCTAATCATCAACACCATTTGTCATATGTACAAATGGGATACTTTAATACTGGACAAAATGTTATCTTTGAGAAAAAATAATATGCCCACACAATAATTAGACATATACATCATAAGAGAGTATTAAAAACACTGCCATAAAAATTAATTTAGGACAAGAAGGGGCTCTGTTAATCAATTTGTACGGGTCATATTTTTAAAAATCTCTCCTAGCACAAATAGTCATATTAAGTCAATATTTTAAAATGTATGTCTATATAAATGACAAATCTTCCCTGATGCCTTTGAATTAAGAATTACTAAACTTTCTTATGAAATAAAGTACATAATTACTATTTATTTATGAGAAACCCAGGTCTTTTTCAGTCATTCAGCCTAAATCACTTTAAGTTTCTAATACTTAATAAATAACTTGAGATCTTGATTAATAAGACCACTTATAAAACACATTATTAGCAAATAAAACAGCCAGTATAAATTAGTGATTAATTTGTAGCAAAAGTCTTTACAACCAAGCAAAACTTTCATCAGGATTAAATCAATTCTTATGAAATATACTATGACACATCAATAAGAAGGGGTAATACATACATTTCTATAAAGATAATATGGAAATATTAAAAACTATCAATACAAGCTATATGTAATTAACTAAAGAAAGATCCTCAAGTATGTAGGCATCAACACAGTTCATATATTTAGTATGGTGATTACAGTACATATATAGTTTAAACTTACAATGAAATCTACTTATATCTTTATTTAACCTATTAAGACAACTGTTTACAGAAAATAATAAGCTGTTATCTCATATAGTTTATCAACCATGAGCTTAAAGTCAAATGAGTTTAGAAAGATCTTTTCCAATGTTGCTTTGAATGTTATCAAAGAATCAATTATGCTTTATAGGTTAATAAAAACTACCACTGTACATTAGTTTTGCTTAGGTTTTCCTTAAGAGTTGCTCCAAAGGAAAATTACTGTATTCACACAGGATTTGAAGTACTCCTCACTTTAAAAATATTTTTTAATCAGAAAAATAGAAAGTTCTTTTTTCCACGTAATAGCATCTTTTTATCTCTATAAGCTGGGAAATGAAGTTTCCTTTATAAATTAACTTAAAGAGTAGAAGATTAAAAACTAGCACTGGTAAGTGAACTAAGTGTTTACCACTGTGGGCATTCAAGAGTTATATAAAATTAAATGCTGTTTCTTAATTCATTTTATCAAAACTTTATTTTGAGTTGTATATCTCCACATTTCTGAATTAGTACACATTAAATAAAACTAAAGCATAGCATTTGGTCATGCTTTCACCACTTAAGATTTACATGTGTGCACAACTGTGAATTTAAGAAGAGTATGGAATACAATTTCCTTTACATCACATACCTACAGTAGGATTCTGCTTCTGTTCCACTAGCGTTCTTGGTGTTCTCAGGTAATTAGCATTTTCAGATACAACCTGTATAAGGAAAGCAAAATAAATGAAGTAAAACAATAAAATAAATTCATAAGTCCACACTTCATATGCAGCCTGTTCCAGACAGACAAAGGTTAATAAGCTGTATGATAAATATTAGTAGAAAGACATAAAACATGATCATGCAAGATCCCCTTTTGAAGGGAGTCCATTTCATATGAGGTCCTTGCAATGAAGTGGTGCGAAGCAGGCATTCAGAATGAAACATCAAGTATGAAACAAGACAGATGAAAAGAAACAATTAATAGATTGATATAATTTCACTCTTAAAAGAAGCCAAATACCCACTCTTAAACAGCTCCTGTATTTGAAGGGGGAAAAAACAACCACAAACAAAAGAAAAGACGGACAGAGACTATTGAGGTCACCATACAATTACTGATCCATGCATGGGCTTTATCAGAGTAACCTTTAAATATTCACAGCCTTAATGGATACCATAATCCCTTTTCCTATAATCAAATACATTATATTTCCAAAAGGAAATACTGAAATTATCAGAAAAGTCATGTGTGACAGCAGACCTTCCATTGTAACCAAAACCATTGTATTTTAAGTTTGCAAATATCATCACAGAAAGTCCTTCTGAAGTCATTTTATTTTTGACCCATGTTGTTGATGGGCACATTTACACTTGCCTCCTCTTATCTTAAAGAGAGCATTAAAAACTATACAGCTCAAATGAAAATACACTATATGTATCCCTTAAATTAGATACTTGCAGATAATGAGATAATGAGGGAGAGAACCAACCATCAATATTAGATGTATACTGTTAATTAACATTGGGCAACATAAATTTTGATATTTTAAACAAATGTTTAGATTCTCAGCAAATTCTAAATGGAATCTAATTTTTCAATTATGGTGGGAAAGTTATTACATTTCTTAACATCAAATTACATAATTTTGCTTCTGAATATTTTAAAGGACCACTAAGTCAAAAAGAAATTTCTTTACAGTTCCAGAATACAATTTACTTATTGTTTTTTAAACCCTGGAATTTAAAATCTTCTCAGTAAAAATGCGAAACACATGCAATTATGTAAGTGGTTTCTTTCCCTCAAATATTTTCATATATCATAAGTATTTTTAAATGAACTGAAAATTAAAAAACAGAAGGATTTACTCTGATGTGAAATACAAGGGATTAGATGTCCTCAAAGACAGCTGTTTGTTGCTCTGAATGCAGGGAGGAAAAATGTTTAATGAAGTAAAGTTTAAAAACCTGTTGCCATGAGCCAAAAATACTGGATGTGAAAGCCAATGATTTGGGGGAGACAGGGGAAGAAGTGATTTGTTCCCCTGATCTGCGTCTTCGACGCCCAGTACCCACACCACTGGTATAATGCAGCCAGGTACCAGTACCCTCTGGGCTAGATACACTCAGGGGGCTCTCTTCCTGGAAGAAAGAAAGGGGGAAAAAAAAAAAAAAAAAAAAAAAAAAGCAGAGCATGCAAAGTTAGATACAACAGAGCCAAATGATCAAAGAAAAAAAAATACAGTTTGTATTTGCTTATTAATATTTTTAAAAACTATTAAACAGTAGTTTGGGAGCCAAATATTTCAATATTTGAGAATTTGATGGGAATGCCTTATAAATCTAATTGTATGTGATAACAATTATAGAAATAGCTTATTACCTTAAAATACAAAATATTTATATTGCTTAAAACGAAATATTTTAATTTTTTTAACAATTTTTAAAATATAGAAGTATTCTGCTTATTTTTAGATATTCAAGAGATTCTGTGTTAAATTCTAGGTGAACTTTTCAACCCAAAGAATTGTTCAAAAGATTAAAGAGATGTATGTAACCTAAAAAAAAAGAAACTGTCCGCTAGACATTAAAAAAAAAATCAGAGACCGTAAGATGGGCTCAAATTGCATTTGTTTATACTTTCAAGCTATCTATTTGTTTACTCCCTCCAGAGATTAAGTAGAATTACAGAATTAAGTAGGCAAAATATGCAGCAAACATTCTCATTTTACATGTTTGCACGTTCACGTTTCAGACAGTGAGGACAGAGTAAAATTTACTTGCACAAAATGAAGAGAATAGTCTTTTTCTCTGTGTCTTTTGGAAGTACAAACTTCTGATATCCATGGAGATGGTGGACAGAGGAAAAAGTCTTCAAGGTTTTACTTGAGTAATTTACCTTATGGAAGTAAAAGTTTAGCATGGCATAGAAATCATCTCTTGAAATCAACTATTTACTGTATTTATGAGAAAAAAAGTTTATAAATGTGTTCTAACAAGGGCAGTGATTTTGTTAAAGGTCCTACAAACATAGAGGAGTTGCAAAATGTAGACTTTAACAATACATTTTGCTGTATCAGTGTTATATATATGCTCTTTGGGGGGCAGAAGAGAGGGTTTCGCTGTGAAAATCTGAACAATTTGATTAACTACAGATTGTTGTTCAACAGCACATCAAAATCACCATCCTCACATACAGAGAAGCTTGGGTTATATTAATATAGGTCATTTCCCAATTTTCTAAAATTAAGAATAACTGAATATAACCCCAGATCTCTCATTTTTTCAATTAAACTGTAAGAGAACAAATCATCTTAAATTCTGTAATTGTTAGTTATCCTTTTTAAAACTACCTTAACTTAAAATGCCACATTCATCCTTAATTAGTACATAATTTCTATTTTAAAGTTATAAGAATCTACTTTATTGATGATTTCTTCCTATACAAAATTGTCAAATTAGAGCACATGTGTACTTGAAATTTGAAAATCATAAAACACATATGTTGTATAATTTAGGGCTGTAGAAATGAACATAAAAAAATCTTCACTGTTGTTACTGTTTATATTCTACTGTTTATATTCTATTGTTTATAACTACTGTTTATATTCTTATCCATCAACTGCTAAATAATGTTAAAACTAATTCTTCACACTTGGTATATTTAAATAAAAATTTTTTTTTCTAACTTAAAAATTAATGGTTCTTTCTAACTTAAAGTTAATTTCTTGCTTTATACTTTTACAAGAGCATTTAGAAAACATTTATAAGCACTGACCTCAATCAATGCTGGGAGAATAATTCTATAAAAAGTTAGATAACCCAAAATAAGTTATTTAAAATATAAAAACGCAAATAGGTGTTATAGCTTTACTTACCAAACTTCATTCTAACTATCAAATTTTCCTTCTACTACTTAGCAGTCATTTAAGTATTATTCTATTATTGAGTATAAGAATTATTCTAATGTATTTACAGATCTTAATAAAAAGGCAAAATTTTCAGTTATATCTTCAAATTTAAAATTCCTATTTAGATTTTGCAATCAGACTAATAACCTGGAATTTCATTTCTTAATCTACAGTGTCACTGGAATCAGTTACCGCTAAAGCATCTCTGGAAATTTTTATTTTTAACCAAAAATTATTCCTGAGCTATTAAATCAGACTTAAGAAGTTTTTTTTTTAACTGAATAATAACCTAAAGTGACAAGACAAAAAAAAAGGATTAGTTTATCAAGTTCTTAGAAAGACCTTATTTCATATTTGTATTCAATTTTGTTATGATGATACATAAAACTCCAAATCATAAAACGAATCTATTTTCTAACTGCCTCTATGTTTTTGAAATTTATTTTAAAAAGACAAAACTGATAAAATTTGTTAGGATCCCAAGCTCTCTGATTAAAGCTGTATTTTCTTTTCTGTTTTATTAAAATATAGTTAGTTTCCTTTATGAAAAACATGCTGTGACACACGTACTTACCTCATTTGTAGCCATCTTCCTAGATCTTGGAAGTGGAGACTTTCTGTGTATATGAATCGGCTCTGATACCAATGGTTTAAACAATATCACAGCCCTATCGACCTCATCTTTTTTAGAAGCATGTGGCTCATCATCATTATCCACTTTAAAAGCTCTCCTGCCTTCACTCTGTGGACAAAGAATACAATTCACTTTTAAAATTCAGATTTTAAAAATCTCTCTGATGGACAAATTCAACCACCCTGGTATAGATACTTGAAGTACATATAAAAGTGTGTTTAGTAAAGTGAATTAACATTCCCTGAACTCTTGTAATAGCCTAGTATTAAACAAGGTACTTTGAGAGAAATAACAAAGTCCCTGACTTTAAAATATATGTGCACTCTATGGAGAAATTAAGCAGTCAAGTGACCATAAAAGACCATATATAATAAAATGTATAAACAAATTTCAACAAATGTAAAAATAAACAGCAATAATAAATGATAGTAGAAAGAGTAGAGATCAGTTTTGTTATAAAAGAATGTCATCCGCTTGAGCACAAACTACAACAGTACTTGAATTTTTAAATTTTAGAAGATTTAAATTTACTCCAAATATTTCAATAAATGTGATACTTGCATAGGAAACAGCAATCTTTCAATGACCAACTAAATATTTACTGAGTGTGTACCATGTGCCATGAAACATACTAGGTCACAAATGAACAAGATATAGTCCCAGATTACAAGATTCTCACAGCAGAGCATAGGAAACAGACACATTAAAAACTTTTGTATCAAATATCCATCCATAATAGAAATGAACACATTGACCCATATTTTAAAGCAGTAAGAATGGACAAACTAAACTAAATACAATTACACTGATACATCCCATAAGCATAATATTGGCTAAAAGAAGACAAGTTGAGGACATAAAAATCCTCATCAAACTAAGGGCTACACCAAATAAAAAGGAAGTTCTTTAACCAGATAAGAGATATCAGGAACAATCATCACAGTTAATGAAAGACATGAGTGACCACTATCACTAAATCCATCCATTTTACTGATATGAACATATACACAAAAAATCCAAATGATTCCATGGGTAAATTATTCAAATAAAAAAATATAGCAAGTTTGCTAGCAATAAAATAATTATACAAAGATGAGTTAAATTTGATATGAATTAAAGAAACAAGGGAGAAAATGACACCAGATAAAAGAAGAGCTATATTAAAGAATAAATCATGGGAAAGGAAAATAAGTAGATATATTTAAACTGACTTGGAAGACATTCTCTTACACATATAACTGCCTCATTAAGAAAATGCATATGCATTCCAGTAGGCCACTATTCTACACAATCAGCATTTAAAGCACTCTAATATTACAATACTAAACAAATATTGACTGTAAATAATAATGACCTGTGGTGATTTAAGATATATTTTCTAAAATACATGACAAGAATAACATAAAAGGTGAGAGAGTAAAAAAAAAAGTTACTGTTTTACGATACTTACATTATCTATTAAGTAACAAAAGTGTTAATTTATATTAGACTTTAATAAGTCAGAAGGTAACCATTAAAAAGATAGTAAAAGAATGTAAGATTACCAGATGCCCTATTAAAGGAGGAAATATTTAACTCAAAAGAAGGCAAGTGAGAGAAAAAAATATAAAATAGTAGGACAAACAGAAAACAAATAGTAGGATGACTTAAGATGACAACAGAAATCTCATATACATCAATAATTATATTATCTACAAACTATAATTAAAATTGATTAGTTTATCAAGTTCTCAAAAGAAGACATACAAGCAGCCAACAGATACATGAAACAATGCTCAGCCTCACTAGTCATCAAAGACATGCAAATTAAACCACACTGAGGTACCATCTAACTCCAGTCAGGATGGTCATCATCTATAACTCAAAAAACAACAGATGCTGAAGAAGATTCAGGGAAAAGGGAGCACCACTACATTGTTGGTGGGAGTGTAAACTAGTACAATCTCTGTGGAAAACAGTTTGGTGATTCTTAAAAGATCTAACCATCGACCTTCCATACAATCCTGAATCCCCCTACTGGGAATATACCTGGAGGAACTCAAATCACTCTATGAAAAAGATACTTGCACACACATTTATTGCAGCACTGTTCACAACACAATAACATGGAACCAACCATCAAAAGAGGACTGGATTAAAAAAATGTGGTACACTACATGATGGAATATTACATAGCCATAAAGAAGGACAAAATTATGAACTTCAGAGCAACTTAGATGGACTTAGAGTCTATAATATTGAGTGATCTATCACAAAAGCAAAGAACTGAGTATCACATGTTCTCATTTATAAGTGGACCTTGAAAAATTATCATAATACTGTAAGATAAGGATTGTTAGAAGTGGGAAACTGCTGGGGGAGGACAGGGGTGTAGGACTGGCAGTAGTGGGATTCTGCTGGGGCGGGGACACACCTCATCAACAAAGGTACCTGAATAATGAACATTTGTGTACTTAACCCTGAATTGTACCCCACATCTTTAAAATTAAAAAAAAAGATGTAAAAAAGATATAATAAAGTTCACTTGACTTGTATTAAACATTTGTATTGAACAAAGAATAGAAAATACATTATTTTCAGGTGTACATGTAGTTTTATAAAAAAATTAACCACATGTAGGCCCATAGGCTGTTCCCAATATATTTCAAATCAATGTAATCATATCAATTATATTCTCTCACAAAAGTGAAACTAAGCTAGAACCTACTAACAAAAACTTATTTGCAAAATTTTTACATTTGGAAATTAAGTAATTAATCTCTAAACCCATGAATCAAAGAAAAATCACATGGAAATCATAAAGTATGTTGAACTGACTGGTAAAACATACTTGCGTGCTGTAGCTAAAGCCATGCTTAGAGGGAAATTTATAGCTCCAAACGCAAATATTAGAAAAAGAAAACTTGAAAATAATCAGTCTGAGTATCCAACAAAATAAGTTAGAGATAGATCAACAAATAAATACAAGGAAAGTAGAAGTAAATAAATAGAAAACATAATATCAGAGATTAATGAAATAAAAGAGACAAATGTACAATAAAGAGGACCAACAAAGCAAATTTTGGGTTCTTTCAAAGACTAAGAAATCATAAATCCTTGCCAAAACTTGTTAAGAAAAAAATGAGAAAAGACCCACAGAAAAGTTACCATGATGAAAAGGGACATCATTACAGAGCTTACAGGTAGTAAAAATATAACATAAGGATATTATGAATTGTATGCCCTAGATTTGAAAATTTAAGACAAAATAGAAAAGTATGACTTACTATAATAGATATGAAAAGACAGAGAAAAACAGAATAGTATTTTATCAATGAAAGAAACTGAATATATGATTTTAAATATTCTCATAATGAAAACTTCATACAGATGACTAATAAACAATGGATTTTAACAAATATTTAAGACAGAAATAACACCAATATTACACAAAATCTTTCAGACACAGAATTTAATCCTTAATACTGTAAGAACTAAAATGCAGTAATTCCTGCTAGGTGATTAGCACCGTGTTTAGCACGGACTAGTCCTCAAGTAAAACAACACAAAAAAACAAAAACAAGTAAAAACTATAGTTACCCATTCTAAACATTGGCCTTATATTCCAAACAATCGAAATAAAAATAAAATTCATAAATATTCTAGTATTCATAAAAATGTTGTCTTCCCAAATCATACTTTAAGATATTTAATCCATTTTTCTACTTAATTATTGAAATAAAAATTATTTATAGTACATAACAAGTCTTTAAAAAGCGTCATAAAAATCCCCAAATGTAGTAACCAAGCACTGAGAGGTCGATCTTCATTACCTCTCTGGAAGCTGGTCTATATCCATAGCCAGATGGTAAATTTTTGTCTTCTTCACAGCCTTTTGCTCCTGGGCTAAAGTGTAATTCAACATGAAAGCGTTCCTCTGAGGAAAGATCCTAAAAATTAGGACAGAAGATGAAAAACTTAAAGCTATGTATTTATGTCTGGTAAAACACAAGCCAAGAGCTTTGTTTACCTTGTTAGGATCCTCATAAAGCATGATAACAATCTGTGTCATGTAGTTGAGTTCACTGACTACAGTTAAATAATCCATAGCTCGTTTCCACTGTTCATCTTTTGATTCCTGAACAAAATGTATACATGGTTAAGTATTTTCTCCTACTGCATTACTTGAAAGTTACTTTATTGTCACTATGGTAGTTTGTTTAATCCAGAATGATACTACACAAATAAGATGAATACTCATTATATGCACATTATTTCAGAATCAACTCTGCTGTATTTTAAAGCCTTAAGCTATTTAAGTCTGTTTAAGTAAACTATTTTTAAAAATCTCCTCCCAGTACAGATTTGAGTATCCCTTATCTGAAAATCCAAAATCCAAAATATTTTGAGCACTGACATGCCATTCAAAGGGAATGCTCATTGAAGAGCACTTCAGATTTCAAATTTTCAGATTAGAGATGCTATATACTTGCTAATATAATGCAAATATTCCAAAATCCAAGTAATTCTGAAACACTTCTGGTCCAAACATTTCAGACAAAGGATATTCAATCTGTATTAGAAATTCTAGTGGTAACTTAAAAAACAAACAAACAAAAAAACAGCTTATACAAAATGAAGAATAAAGAATCTCTTGAAATGATACCCAATACTGAATTCTGAGGGTAAGATATAGTTTGTAACCTTGTAAGCCCAAAAGTACATAGTATAGTATCATGTTACATATCCTTAGAATACTATCCTATAAGAATAGTGCTATTTTTCCCCATCATATAGTCTATGCATGTGATATATATCTATCAGTAAATATCCCTTATTAAACTGCAATGATATTAAAAAATCAGTAGGAGGAGGCATATATAAATCCTATTGTTCATACCATCACCTCCATTTTCATTTAGAAAATCATTGATATTTTAAACATGCAATCATAGAGTATGAGATCTGAAAGGAATCTTAGAGAACATGTAATATGAGCATGCAAAGAAGAAAACTCTATCTGAAAAGGCACAAAGTCTAAAGTTACTCAGACCATATGCATAGCACAGATAAATTTCCTTCATCATATGTTATAAATATTACAAATATATAAAAGAATTCAATGCTTTTTTGTATATAATAAGAGTATACAATATTTTGAACTTCAATATAGAATGTGACTTGTTTTTAAAAATATACATTAAGACCACATGCTGATTGTGTTTTTTTTAAACTCAGTAAATTTAAAATATTTTTTAGACAAACAATTCTCTGTGTGTGTATATTTATGTTTAGACTGTGATATATGCAAAGGTTTTTTTTTAAATGATAAGAAAAAACACGAATTAGCATAGTATTACTGGATTTCACTAGATGTGAATTAATGTAAATGAGTTTAAATTAAATACTGAAAATTTTCATTAGGTGATTACCTCAATTAGACTTTGTGATACTACATTATTAAGAACACCATCTAATATCTAATTCAGTGTTGCAGTTACAGATTTTGTTAAGTCTGCTCTAATAAATAGAGACATTTAAATAATATTTAGTAGTAATTTTCAGAGCATAATTAGTATGTAAGATGCCACAAATTTTTTTTAAAATTCAGGTTCATTATACATAGTCCCTGAAATCTTGTTTATAATCTTATTTCCTTAACAAATTAAAAAAAAATAAACTATGGACAGATTTTTTTACCCAGTTCATTCTGAATAATCAAAAATTATAACTGAATATATAGTGAACAAAGTTTTCAGTATATTACTTTCAGATTCTTTTAAGGATAATTAAAAATAGGAATAATGAAAACAACATCATTTGGTACAGACTTTAATTTTCACTTTGGTAAATACATGTAATTACTTTTCCTCCTGGAGGCACCAATTTTTTAAAAAGTATGTAAGAAATCAAAATTGAACTTTTTTTAAAGATTATTTTGTGTACAGATGTGCACAGATGTGTATAACAGTATGTACACAAAAAATAAAGGCAAATTCTTATCGTTTTGCTACTTTAGAGATAGCTGATTTAGATGAGACCCTAGATTTCAAGTTTATGCTATAACAGGATAAGACTGGAGGGGATGGCACTAAGGGAGAAGTCAAGTAAATTTTGTATGCAGGAGTATAAATTATTGTGGCCAGTGGGCATTATTGTGATAGATTATATTTTCCAAAGACGGGTGCCACATATATTCAATCCTACATACTCTTCTGACAATGGCACTCCACTCATCTAGTTATGGGGGTTATTTTTCCTCCCTTTGAACCTGGATGGACCTCCTCTATGACTGCCTTAACCAAAAGAGCTCAGCAGAAGTGACTTCAGAAGTTAGGCCATAGAAATATCATGCACTTGTACCTTGCTCTCTGAGGTCACATAAAGAGGACAGATATAGATGTTATGGTCAATAACCCCAGCTGAGCTCTAAGTTGACAAGAAACTTTGAAGCACATGAAAGAAAATCTTTGAGATGATTTGAGTCTTGACCACTGACTGCAACCTCTTAAGACCCTAAGTGAAAACTGCCTAGTTGAGTCCAGTCAATCCTCTGAATTTTGAGAAATAAAAATGAAATGACTGGTTGTTTTAAATCAGTAAGTCTTGGTATGTCATTATATGTAAGAGTAGATAAGAGGCACAGTGTTTAAGCAAAGACCAAGTCCTGTCAATTTTGACCTCTAAATGACTCAAATTCATCAGCTTCTTTTGATCAACCGCCACTAGTCTATAACATCACCTATCATGTTATTGTTTGCTTACATGGATTTTCTGTGAAGAGAACATGTCTTTATCCCCAAAATCTAGCAGTGTTTGGTATATAGTAATCCCTTGAAAAATGACCGTAAATAGTAAAAATTAATGATGATTTACTAAAATTACACACAAAAAGTAGCAGAGATAATTATTTGATTATAAATTCAAGGCAACATATTTGTAGGCTGAATAACCTATTCTACTTACATTGCATAAGGCACCATAGCGAAGAATGGATAGTAAAGAATGTACATGACTTTCACTAGTAAAATATAATCTAGTGCGGACATGACGTTCAGGAGACAAAACACCTCTGGAATACCTAAAGTTAGAAGCAGACAGTGTTAAAACATAAACATATAATAAAAAATTTACTATGTATTGAAATTATTTTATGAAACTGAATTTAATCTTACTAGAAGTGGAAGATAATAATAAGTAAATAGATCACTCATCCAACACAATTGAAGAGTTATTGTAACTCCTCTTAACATACATTTTTCTAATATGAGACTAACTGGTACTAACTAGGACCTCTGAGAGTAGTCAAAAACAAAGAAACTTTATATTAGTCACATTCACAGTAAATAGGTTATTTTAGGTTTTCTGGTAGCAATTATAGAGGTCAAAGCTTATAGAGGTTCACAGACAATAGTACTGCTGAATGGGGCACCCTTTAATGATCCCACATGAATAATGCTACATGCCTCCTTCTCCCCATTCACTTTGGTGTTCTCTAAATTGGAGCCTAAAAAAACCTTGGTTGAACGATAGCTAATGGGAATTCCTAGGTCATCCTATTTCCTCAGTATGCCAATGATACTGCTGACTTCATAGTAAGTTCAAAAGGTAATTTACATTTGAAGTATGTAAACAGAGGTGCCTAGAGATCTAAATGACCAATACAGTTTCTTACACAGGATGGAGTTTATTTACAGTGTCATCATCTTGTGTCCTCTGAAGGTCTGAGCGAATTTTTCTAACTAGAGGAGTACAGTAGCCTTTGGCAATCTCCAGTTTTTCAGCTTTAGTTATACCATATTCCTGAGAAGAAAGCACATGATATTAGAAAAAAGGTATAATGAGAAAGACGTCTAACAAATATATTACTGAATTAAAGAATTCTAGTGACAAATATTTTATCAAGTCTTTTTTGAACATTAGACAACTCTCACTTTGCATTTCCTGTAACTGCCAATGTACAATTCCCAAACTATTAAGTATAATTGGAAGGATTTTGTGGTAAAATAGAAAAAGCAAGTAATTCCTAAGAGAAGAGAATGAATGGATGAACACAATCTTTATAAATAGTATTGAACTCAATCAGGTTTTAAATGTAAAAACAACCATAAAAGAAACATGGATTAAGGCCACAAATACTAAAGCATGGAATAAATAGGCTATAAACATATGGGAAAAAAACCTTAAGGTTTTTGTCTTTCCAAATATCAAAGATTAAAAAGGCTAACACATTCTTCTAAAAAAAGAAAATCCTTTTGCCAATATTTTAAAAGTTTTAACCAGTGGTGAGTAAAGATTACATAAAGTTATCAAATTTAATTACTTCTATAATCACTATGAGTTGATTAGATTTATAAAGAATTAGCACAATGTGAAGTGTCATGAAAACACAGTAATTGTAAGAGTAATTGCAAAGAAAATTACAGTTCAAAGTGGTAGATTAGAAAATGACCTTGTATGAGAAAAAGAAAAATCAGTGATGTATATGTGGATGGGAAGAAGGGGAGAAAGGAAAGAGATGAAAGTGGGGAAAAGGGGAAGAAAGAAAGGAGAATACGGGAGACGGAAGAAACACACATATTCTCTCTTTCCAAGTTCATTCTGGGATATCTCAGTTTAAAGCCTGCTTCCTGCTTACAGATACCTCCAAAAGATTTACATGAAATAACATTGGTATAGATAACGGATCTCAAAACTGCCTAATTTAAAAAATGCTGATTGATTACAAATGAACCTCTGAAAATGGAACTTCTTAGGGTCATTTACCCTGAACTAAAGCTAAGTTGGATCAATAATCTTGCCAATATAGATGATTGTGATATGGATACACAAAAGGGATATATATGCAATTGTGGATGTATGTATAAACAAAAGAAAAATGTTAAAATTTAAAACTTGGCCAGGCGTGGTGGTTCAAGCCTATAATCCCAGTACTTTGGGAGGCTTAGGTGAGGGGATTACCTGAGCCCAAGGGTTCGAGAATAGCCTGGGCAACTTGGCAAGACCTCATCTCTACAATAAATCAAAAAATGCGCCAGGCGTGGTAGCGTGTGCCTGTAGTTCCGGCTACTTGGAAGGCTGAGGAAGAAGCCTGTGTCCTGCAGGTTGATGCTGGGGTGACCATGAGCGTGCGTGCCACTGCACTCCAGCCTGGGCGATGGAGTGAGATTCAAACTCAAAAAAATAAAATAAAATAAAACTCATCAGAATTTTTTTTTTAATTTGTTATTAGCAAGATGTAAGGAAACAGGCATTTTCATACACTGCTAGTCCTGGTTATAAAAAAAAAAAAAGGTTAAGGATTTCTGGAGCTACAGAAATAGTCTTGAGTACATGAGGAGACATGTGTAAAGAGAATTTTAAAAAATTAAAATAATCTAGATTTCCAAATGCATGTTGGTTAAATAAATTTTCTTACATTCACACCATTCAGTCATTAGGAATAATAATGTATACATAGCTTTACCGGTGTGGAAAGAAGTTCTTGACACAAAATGAAGGAAAACAAACTAGGTTGTAAAAGAGTATACTTTTTCTGATTCCATTTTGGTAAAGAATATATTTGCTACATATATGCATTTAGGAAAAAAAATTTAGGGAAGGAGGCCTTTAAGAATATTCCAGTCCTAACTCCTACAGGCTGAGGCAAAAGGATCCATTCAGCTCAGAAGTGCAAGGTTACAATAAGCTATGATCACCACCACTGCACTCCAGTCTAGGCATCAGAGTGAGACTTTATCTGAAAAAAAAAAGAAGAAGAAGACTATTCTAAAAATATCAATATGCTTTTTTTCATTGGTAATGTTATAGTGATTTTTTTAAACTGCCTTTTCTAGTTTTACAATGAAGATATATTACTTTTGTAATGAAGAAATCTTTTTCTTGAAAAGTGACATATTTTGATAATCTGTCACCATCAACTAGAACCAACTAACTATTAGATATTCACGTTATCACATGTAATTACAATTATCTCTGCCACAAATAAAACTGATTAACCAGGTGAAGCTATTTAAAGACCTACTATCATGATTTCAATGAGAATGTTTGGACTTAATATGGCAAATGTTACTATAAACAATCCCTTACATTTCATAATCCACAGAAAACCAAAGAAATCATCTTCAAATTTCAATAAATATGTGTCCTCTCAATTAAGGTAAGTTTAATATTAAATTTGGTCTTTAAATGTTCTCATCTACCACTATACCATCGTGACTATTTTAAAGTATCATTTTTAAACCAATGTCCCAATTTTCTGAATATTGAGCCTGGTTAAAAAGTGAAATGTAGTTTGTATTGTAGCATAAATACCTATCAAAAATTGTCTAACTGTAAAAATAGTTAAAAGAATCAGACCATATTTATCATTTAAGTTTAGATAATTCAGAAAGCATAGAAATAAAAATCAATTCAATGCAAGAGCAGAAACTGGTTTTTTTAAAGCAATAGTATCACTTTCAGGTACACCAGAAGGTATACACATTTTTCTTGCACAGATAGTGATATGCTGTTAGTCGACTTTAGTTTATTCTAAACAAGTTAAAATTTTGTATTATTTGACTGAGTCATCAAGTTTTGAAGACTGAAATATTCCTTATTTACTTGAGAACTATATATGCAAATTTTCACTTTTTCCCATTACAAACTTCATTTTATTATAAATTAGCACTACAAATGTTTATACTTTTTAATTATCTTTTCAGTGATTGAAAATACATGCATAGTTTTTGGATTTATATTCCAAGTTCATAGTTCTGTTTATAGTTTTTGGACTTATGAGGGCTTAAGTAGCGAAGTAAGATAATATTTACTGAATTGAATTCAGCACCCCATAAAAATAAGATGAAATCCCAAGTTTCTGCTAGAATAAGAACTGTTAAACCAAAAAACAGGGAAATAAACCTAAGTTATCCCCTTCTCAATTGAGGAAATAATCTCAGGATTCCAAGGAAGCATATAAAAAAGACATCTGCCTTTAAACTTATGAATTTACAAAATTTAGTTATGAATTTATCAATACAGGACTGATTCCTGTAAGTTTAGGTATAATTTTTTTATGGAGAGTTTCAAAATTAAATAACTTATCCAAGAAAAATAATTTGAAAGTTGTCTTCAAATAAATTCTCAGACTGCTGTGAAAATCTAACCTAATTACAACAAAGAGAATTACTGTAATAGACTGAAAACAGTTAAGCTTGAAGAATTACTGAGATGCAAATGACGGCTCAACTCTTTAATAACCATACTAATCTTTAGAGCTTCTTCTAATTACAATATTTTAAAAACTTCATCACAAGGACATGTTGAGAAATTTTCTCAACTATATAAACAATATACCTGAAGTGCATGTATGAGGGGGAACCAAAAAAACCTGGAATATATTTTTTGGAGGACAGGCCCCTTGTAGTACAGGCTTCCCTTACTAGGAAAGCATTTTAGTAACCCATCGGCATCAGTGTACCAGCTAGCATTGTTGTGAAAAGCTGCTTGAGGCTTTTCTTGGAGAATCTTTCGGTGCATTTGCCCATTTCATGATGGGTGATTTATGATCACACCTGCCCATACCAAGCAGCTTTTGACCAAAAATGGCATGACCCTCATGCCCCACCCTTCTTATTCGCCCCATCTTGACATGAGCGATTTTTTTTGTTTCACAGATTAAAAAAGTCCTCTGAGGGAAACGTTTTGCTGATGTGGAAGAAGTGAAACAAAAAACAACAGCAGAAGAACTAAAAGCCACAAAAATTGGAGTTCAAAACCGTTTTGAGCCGTGTAAAAAAGCATCCCAATAGGTGTACTGCCTCAAATGGAGAGTACTTTGAAGGTGACTGAAGTTTTAAACATGTAAGAATACACAATTTGTATAAATTTTTATTTATTTTGGGTTCCCCCTTGTATCATGTAAGCAAGAGAAATGATCATGTAAAATCTCATTAACATTTGAGTTTTCTTTTGGACCCAATTTTTCATTCCCAATTTTAAAATGTCTAGTGTATATAACAGGAAAAAGTAGTGGGGTGAGATTAAATAAGCCATGTAATGGTACAGACTTCATTATGCTGAACAATTAGACAAAGCATTATTCATTTAGCCTCTGAATAGGTGATACATCTAGATATATTGAAAAATACCCCTTGACAAATACATATAGTCTCTGTAAATTTTTTAAAAGGTCATAATACTTACAGTTAGTGGCAAAAATAATAACTTTTAAATAATTTGCGTTGAAGAACAGAGACAACTAAAACATTGAGCTAACCTAATGTCAAAGCAACACATATCAATGAAAAAAATCAGGATCTTATTTATACTTTTAAAGCAAACTCTCATTTTTTTTTTTTTTTTTGAGTTGGAGTCTTACTCTGTTGCCCAGACTGGAGTGCAGTGGCCGCTCCCGGCCACTGCAGCCTCGCCTGCTGGGTTCCGGCGATCCTTCTGCCTCAGCCTTCCAAGTAGCTGGAACTACAGGCGTGCGCTATCATGCCCAGCTAACTTTTGATTTATTGTAGAGATGAGGTCTCGCCAAGTTGCCCAGGCGGGTCTCGAACCCGCGGGCTCAGGCAATCCACTCACCTCAGCCTCCCAAAAGCGCGGGAGCAAACTCTAATTCTTTATCTGAATTACCAGTGATCATTCTTCTTGAAATTTTGAATACCAAAAGTCTGAATGAATTCTGTATTTTGAATTTCATAAAAGATAGATGCTGATTTAGGTAATTAGTGAGGACACAATCAAGTCAGCAGCTCAATGATTATAATCATCAAGTATCTTATGTTATAAAAATAAAACCATTCATTCTA